CCAAAGAGCTCAACTCCTGCCCTCGGCTGCCCGGACGGTGAGGGCCAGGGAACCGTGGTCCGAGGGCGTACAAAAAGGGGATGCTCAAAGCACCTCCAACGAGGGCTGGAGCGGGTCCGGGTCGCTTCCTTCCCCCGGCACAAGTGCAATGAGCAGCGGAGCCGCGAGAGAGCGCTGCTGGAGCGCGGAGCCCTCCCCTCCTCGGGGGCTTGGCAAGGATGGGATTAACTCCATGGAGAACCCGGCTTTTGGCTCCAACCAGGGCCGGTTTCCATCTAAACCACCCCCCCCACCCCTTTCCCCGGCACGCAGGTGGTGCCAGGATGTGCTCCTGGATGAAGCACCAAGGTCGCATCCTGATGCATGGCGCTGGCTCATTTGCTTGCCACTTGGGACTGTGCAACCAGCTTGGAGGCGAAGGAGGAGGCAGCAGCTTCTCCCCAACCCCTTTTCCATCGGGATGGTCCAATCGGGATGCAAAGGGAGGTTTCCTCTTCACCAGTGCCTTGAATCCACCAGCTCCGGGCGGAGGCTCAGCTTCTTCAGGGTCTCGTAGCCCACCACGATGACGATGGTGGAAGGAGTGGCTGAGATGATGCGGGCCGAGAGGCCCTTGGTCAGCCCCCAGGGCCCTTCCTCAGCCAGGAGCTGCCTGAAGGTCAGGATGATGGAGCTCTTGCCTTCCACCTGCAAAGCCACAGCAAAGGCAGCTTCAGCCTCAGCACCATTCCGCTCCAATGGAGGGGGTCTGGAGGTCGCCCCCCCCCCAGCAGCCTTGATGTGGGCTCCAGAACTCCCTAAAGGGAGGGTGGGGGGGGAAAGGGAAGAAGCCCTAAAGAGGCTGCAGCAAGTGGGCTTCTTAACCCTGCCTCCTGCTTCCTCCCCTCTGACCCCATCAGCTCTGACACTGGAAGGGGCAGTTTCAGCCCCTTCAGTGATGCTCTAAGGGGACCTCATGCAGGGGAACCCAGGGAGCCAAATCCAGCCCCATTGATGCTGAGGGCTAACGAAGCCTTGGGCTACCCAGGCCGAAAGAGCCTTTGCAAGCAGAGAGAGGAGGAGGCATGGAGCTGAAAGCGCTGAGGCCAAACCCCCCAAGCAAGCCTGCTTGTGAGCGCTGAGCTCTCACCTGAACCCGAGCCCTGATGACATCCATGGGGTTGGTGAGCGTTGAAGCCGTTGCAGCCGCAAGGGGCCCCGAGATGGCTTGGAGGAGGAGATGGGGACAGTCCTTAGGGGTCAGGCTGGAGAGTTGCTCTGGGAATGGGAAGGAGCCAAGCGTCAGGGCAAGCGGCTGCTTCAGGCCCTCAGCTCCTCCTCCTAAAGACTCCAAACCCTAAAACTACCCCTAATCTACCCCTAACCTACCCCTAACCTACCCCTAACCTAAACCTAACCTAAACCTAACCTACCCCTACACCAAACCCTAAAAGTAACCCTAACTTAACCCTAAACCTAACCCTTACCTAAACCAAACCCTACACCAAACCCTAAACCTAGCCCTAACCTAAAACTAACCTAGCCATAACCTAAACATAACCTAAACCTACACCAAACCCTAAACCTAACCCTTACCTAACCCTAACCTAAACCAAAAATAACCCTACACCAAACCCTAAAACTAACCCTAACCTAACCCTAACCTAGCCATAACCTAACCCTACACCAAACCCTAACCCTAACCTAACCCAAACCCTAACCCTAACATAACCCTAACCCTCATTCACCCCCAGGGATGCTTTCTCCACCAGGCCAGCCAAGGGCAGGGAGCAATGGGCTCAAACCCCAGCCCTGCTGTCAACCAGGGCACAAGGAGCTTGCGTGGCCCCAAACCAGAGCAGCAAAACACTCTCCCCCCGCCCCCTGCTCCTTTAAAGCTTTTAGACTCAGCAATGTGTGCGCCCGGATCCAGGGAGCACCTTGGTATCTCCATGGGATCCTGCTGGGGGATCCCTAAGGAACACATCCAGCTCATCCCAATGGGTGGGATTCCCATCTCCCATTCGAGCTGTCCCAAAGCCCTGGCTCCTTTGGGAAGCTCAGAGGCACCAAGCTCCTTTTACAGCCCCAGGAAGCGCAGCGCCATCTGCACACAGAACCATGCAGGATTTGCCTTTCACCCCTGGGCTTTTGCTATAGGATTTGTGGCTCTAAGAGGGCTTTTCTGGCTGGAATTGCAGTGGCTTCCAAGCCCATTGGCATGCATGAAACCAGCCTTCCGTGCAGAAAGCAAGCACTTGGCAGCAATGGAAGTTAAGGTTAAAGCCAACAGCCCTCCAAGGCTTTGCCCCCCACAAATCCAATAGACAAAGCCAACCACGCCGGGCCCCCAGCCCCAACACGAGGGCCCTGTGGGGCGAGCCTCCTTTCACTCACCAGCATAGAAGTGGTAGAAGGGCCACCAGACGGCACTGTTGGGGATGTAGGTGAGCAGCGAGGCCACGTAGCCCCTGTAGAAACCCTTGAAGCCATCAGCTTTGAAGATCTGTCCAATGATGTCCTTGGTTTGGCCGAAGACCAAGAGGCCTTTGCCGTCCTGCTGGCGCACCCTGAACCTGCCCATGCTCTCGCCTCTCCTCTGCATCATGAGGTGCTGGGAGACGACGTCGATGGGGACCGTGATGCTCTGGGCCACCAGGGAGGCCGACCCCCCCGCCACCAGGGACTTGACGGCGTTGTTGCTGGTGTAGCGGGACACGTACTTGCGGGTGAGCTCGTAGGTGGTCACGTAGCACTGGCCCGAGATGAGGGTGAAGGTGTTGACCAAGAAGCCCCGGTAAAGCCCGGCCGTGCCTTCCGTCCGCAGGATCTTGCCAAAGGCGTCGAAGGTGCCCTTGTATAAGCTCTTGCCCTTCTGGACCTGCAAGCGGGTGCGGATGAGGGTGAAGGGGTAAACGCTCACCCGGATCATCATGGTCATGCAGATCCCGAAGACGTAGAACTTGCGCTTGTCCAAGTGCTCCCACTCGATGATGGGGATGTTGCGTTTGTCCTCCATGGCTCCTCGGGAGGGCTGCACCCCGGCTGGACCCACCTCAGAGGGGCTCAGCGCCAAAGGGATGCATCTGGAAGGGAGGAAGCGCTTTCAGGCACCTCCGGCACCCAAAGGGGCTGCAAGGGGAACGGTGGGGATGGGGATGGAGGGAGAGCATTGCTCCCATGGGAAGCATCACCTTTGAGCAAGCAGCCAGGAATCCAAGCGCTCACCCAAAGCAGCTCCTCCCCACTCATCCCGGGTTCCTTAGATGCCAGGATGGCCCTCGGCAGTGCCAGGCTCTGCACCAGGAAGGAAACCACAAGTTTTCCCCATTGCGTTCCCCACATGCCCTGCACAAATCACATCCATTTTCCCATTTCCATAAGGATCTTCCCAGTCTGGAAGCCGATGGCAACCAGGGATAGAACCCACCCCATCCCCACCCCCAAACCACGTTCTCCATGGCTTTGGTAGCGCTTGGAGCACCGGGAAGAGCCTCCCCCAGCAGAGCCCTCCTTGCCCCACTGCTCTCCCCATCACCCCCAACCGCTGCACTCGTTGGGTGCCTGAAGCAGGTTTGGGATGAGCCCAGCTCCTCACAGGGGCCAAGCCAAGAGGGAAAAACCCAAAGCATCGACCCAACAGGAAACCCCCCAAAACATCCTTTCCATAGCAAAAAAAAAAGGAGCTAAAAAAGCTGATTTGGGTTAAAAGGAGCTTAAAGTCCATACCCCCCCCCCCCCTTACCCATCCCCTTCTCCCACTGGTACCTTCAAGTACTTGGGGGGAGGGAACTGCTGCTGCGTTCCCATTGCTCTACAGGACCCAGCTTCAACCTCAGCCCCCCATTCACCCCCCTTTTCCCCTTTCCAAACGGGTTTTGCTTCCGCTGTAGCCAACCCCGACGCTTTGGGCCGCACAAACAGGCTCTTTGTGCAGCCCCGGCCAAGGAGCTCTCCTGCCCGGCATACCAATGCCGCCGGGCAGCATCCCAGCGCCTTCCCAAGCCCCCATTCCCGCCCCGTTGCCTATGGAGATGCTCTCAATGGGGGGAAGCCGCAGTCCCTTACAAACGGCTCCCGTTGGAAGCCCCGGGGGGGGAAGCAGAAGCTCCCTTCCCACCGCCCTCAGCCCGGCACGGACGCGGCTCCCGGCCTCCATCCCTATGGAAGCGACGCGGAGAGGCCTCACCCCAACCGGGAGGCCTCAGGCCCCGCTCAAGGCCTCAGCGCCCCGGTTCCGCGGCGCTGCCATGGCCCGTGTGTGCCCCCCCCTCCCCGTCACCGGGGTCCATCCGGTACCAACCCCCCCCCCCACAACCCAACCCCGGTTCGGTCCCCACCGACCCCGCGCCCGCTCCGCCGCCCGGTCCCGCGGCTCCCCCCGCCCCATGGCGGCCCGACGGACACCGGCCGGTAATGAAGTGCGCCGGCGCGGAGCCGCTCGACCAATCAGCGCCCGGGAGGCGGAGCCATCTTGGAAACGGGCTGAAGCGACGCCGGAAGAGAGCGGCGGAAAGGGTACTTCCGCCCTTAGTAAAGATGGCGGCGCGCAGGGGTGGAGCTGAAGAGGGCACGGAATACGCATGCGTAAATCAGGGCGCCCACCTCTCTCCCGCTTCCTCTTCTTAAAGGGCCAGCGCCGAATTCCAGCCCAACGTTAACGGCGCTCCTTGCACACGCACCCCCCACCCCCCTCTTGTTGCACCGGGGGGAGGGGAGCTTTTCGTTCCTTTTCGTGTTTAATACAAAACATCAAATATACAAAGAAAAGGGAAATTTACATCTTCCAAAAGAGCGGCTTGAGGGGGAGGGGGGGCTCCATCACCCCACCACGGCTATGGGGCAGAGCCATGGGGTATCCCACCCCGTACCCCCCACCCCATTGCTCAGCACCCAGGGTTGCACATGGGGCCACTTATTCCATGGGGGGGGGGGCACTGAAGGCACCGTCCCCATCCCCATCCCTGTGCCCCCCCCACCCCCCCATCCCACCCCAAAACATCCCCTTGGGTGTGTTAACCCCAAACCCTTCACATTCACCCCAAAACCTCTCATTGCGATGGCACCGTCACGCCGGGGACACGGAGCCTGTCGTTACCAGCATCGATGTCCCCATCGAGCTGCACGCAGCACGGGTGGGAGCCTTCCTCCTCCTCCTCCTCCTCCTCCTCCTCCGTGGTACCCCCGGGTGCCGGGCGCTCCGCGGTGCCCCCATTGAGAGGCACCTTCTCCCCTCGCTGCCTTGGGGGGGTTTGGGGCGCGCTGCACCCCCGCACCTTGCTCTTGGCTTTGAGCTGATCGTGGTAGGCAACGAGAGCCAAGCAAGCGGCCGCGGCCAGGGTCACCACCAGCAGCACGGTGACGGTGACGAACTCGGGCCAATACAAGCGGGGAGGAGCAGGCTCGGAGCCCCGGGGCAGCCCGCTCTCAGCCAGCCCATCCGGGAGCGGAGCATCCCCACCGGGATCCCGCAGTTGGTAATGAGCCACGGTCCATGTGTACCCGTTCTCGCTGGCCTGGCACTTGTAGGTCCCCGCCGTGCCCCTCTGCATGATCACAACGAGCGTGTGGCCGGGCAACAGCGCCGTGGCCCCGCGGGCACCGTCGGGATGCTCCCAGTGGTACGTGGCCAGCGCCGAGGGATGCGGACAGGGCAAGCGGACCACGGCGTTGAGAGGAGGGCTGAGCCCTGGGGGGGGGATGCAAAAGGGGGACAGTGGGGTGATGGGGGCCGCATCCTGTGCATCCCCCCCCCAGCCTCATCCCGCAGGGTGCCCACACTCAACTCTCTGCAGAGGGGGTCTCTGGTGCTCCCCATGCGCGGGGCATGGCCACGCTCCGGCCGCGGTGGCACAAAGGGGCCGGGTTCCCGGCTTCGATGTCCTGCAGCCAATGGCTCCTGTGGTGGGAGAGTGGAGTCAGCACCTGGGAATCGCAGGCTCGTGGGCTGGGGTGGGATGAAGGGAGCTTAAAGCTCATCCGGGTCCACGGGCAGGGGAACCTTCCACTAGGGCTGGGTGCTCCAAGCCTTGGGCTTGGACACTGCCAGGGATGGGGCATCCAAACCTTCTCCATTCAACCCATCCCAGTGTCCCAGCACCCTCCCAGGGAAGAGCTTCTGCCTAAGACCCCATCTCCATCCCCCCTCTGGCAGGTTAAAGCCATTCCCCTTGGCCTGTCCCTGCATCCCTGCATCCCAAGCCCCTCTCCAGCATTCCTGGAGCCCCTTTAGGCACTGGAGCTGCTCTCAGGTCTCCCCCTCAAGGAGCTGACCCAGCGCTGCTCCATCAGCTCCCCATCACCCTTGTGTTGGATGCAGGAGGTGAGGGGGTCCCCACAGAGGAGCAGGATCCCCTTCCACCACCCCTGCTCCCGCTCCACATCCCCTTTCCCCTGTCCCTCATCCCGGCTCACGTGTCCTGGGCGCTGCGGATGGGCTGGCAGGAGCCCTGAGCACCGTTCCAGCCGCAATAGGGGTCCCGCGCCAGCACGCACTCGGCACAGCTCCGGTGCAGGCTGCAGTTGGCCACCGGCACCTGGAGGACTCCACCGGAGTAACCCACGTAGAGGATGCCCTATGGAGGGAGAGGAACAGGATTGAGGCCGTGCCGGCTTTCGGGGCTGGTTCTTGCGGCATCCCCATCCCCTGGTACCTTCCCCGGTGCCAACAGGAGGTTCTTCACCGGCTCCGGCGTTCCCAAGAGCTGGATGCTCTCCACGATGTGCGGAGCTCCGGGCAGCTCCACGGCTTTGTGCAGGAACCCGTCCGCTGTGGGGCACAAAGGGGCATCACCGGGGGGAAGTTTGGGGGCACCAAGGGGAGGGTTGTGCTGGTGTCTCCCCCCCCATCACCCCACCGGTGGCCAGGAACAGGAGGCGGTAGCTGGTCCCCGAGGCGCCGCGGGTCTCATCCACCGCGATGCGGGTGTAGGTGACGTCCGTCCTCACCAGCAGCGGGCGGCCCCGGCTGGGGGCCACCGTCCCATCCATGAGGAAATGGTCCTTCATGAAGGTGAGGGCTTTGTCAGAGGAGGGACCCATGGAGCACTGCGGGGTGGGGAGAGAGGGGGCAGCGCATCACTGAGTGCGATGGGACCTTCCCTCCTTTTCCCATCCTTCCCATTCCCTCCAAACCCTTCCCATAGGGAGCAGCAGCATCCCCAGGGACGGGGCTTTGCCCCACTCACGCTGCCGGGCCGGGGGCTCACGTCGGGGCCACCGTAGACGGTCCAGCGGGAGCTCTCCTTGTTCAGCTCCTTGTACTTGCCCTCGAAGACCTCCTGCAGTGCCTCGTGGCTGTAGGCGCAGACGGCGGCGCTGCCCTCCCTGCCCGCCTGCCTGCGGGGACAGGATGGAGCCCAATGGGGGGCAAGCCCTGGCACCCACAGCAGCACCCATGGGTGCCGGCACCCACCACTGCGAGGTGAAGACGGCGTAGATGTCGGCGCCGCCCGGGCGAGGCAGGGCGAAGGCGTGATGGATGACGTTGAAGGGGAAGTGGCCGGGTTGGGAGCAGAGCAGCTGCGCCTTGAGGAACGTGGTCCACTTCTTCTGCAGCACCTTGTCCCCCCCGACGTCGCTCTGAGGGAGATGGGGGGATGCTCAGCACTGGGGTGACGGGCGCTGGGTACCCCCATTATCATCTGCTGTCATCGTCCTCCGTTGTCATCATGCAACGTCCTCCTCCTTCATCGTCCTCCACAATCGTCCGCCTTCGTCATCCTCCAACATCATCACACTTCATCCTCCCCCTCCATCATCCTCCTCCATCATCATCCTCCCCATCATCCTCCTCCATCATAATCCTCACCATCCTCCTCCTCCTCCATCATCCTCCACCATCATCTTCCTCCATCCTCCTCCTCCACCATCCTCCTCCTCCATCACTCTCCAACATCATCATCCATCATCCTCCATCATCCTCCTCCATCATCCTCCTCCACCATCATCCTCCTCCGTCACCCTCCACCATCATCCTCCTCCACCACTCTCCAACATCACCCATCATCATTCTCCATCATCCCCCTCCATCATCCCACTCCATCCTCCTCCTCCATTGTCCTCCTCCATCGCCCTCCTCCATCATCCTCCTCCATCATCCCCCTCCATCATCCTCCGCCATCATCCTCCTCCATCATCCCCCTCCATCCTCCTCCTCCATCATCCCCCTCCATCATCCTCCTCTTTCACCATCCTCCTCCATCCCCCCTCCCATCCCCCTCCATCATCCTCCTCCGCCATGCCCCTCCTCCATCATCCTCCTCCATCCTCCTCCTCCTCCATCCTCCTCCATCCTCCTCCATCCCCCTCCATCCCCCTCCATCCTCCATCCCCCTCCATCCTCCTCCATCCTCCTCCATCCCCCTCCATCCCCCTCCATCCTCCTCCATCCTCCTCCTCCTCCATCCTCCTCCATCCCCCTCCATCCTCCTCCTCCATCCTCCTCCTCCTCCTCCATCCTCCTCCTCCTCCTCCATCCTCCCATCTGAAGGGGTCCATGAGGCCGCAGGAGCGCTCCCTTCCCCACCTTGCAGACCCTCGCCACGCGCGCCACCAGGAGCCGCTCGAAGAAGTCGAACTCCTCGGCGCTCTCCTCGAAGAAGAAGTAGACTTTGTCATCGCCGGGGATGCTGAAGGAGGCCACGAAGGCAGCGTCGGCTGTGGGGCAGCGGGTGAGGAGCAGGCGGTGGCACAAGGACGGGGTCCATGGGGTGGTGATGGTGATGGTGATGATGGCAATGATGGGGGGGGGTTATCCCAAGGGTTACCCCCCTTTTGCTCACCCGAAAGCCAGCGCAGGAACGCGTCCGTCTTGAGCTGGGTCCTGCTGCCCAGCGAGCGGGAGATGATGGGCTCGTTGCCTTGGAAGTTGTTCATGGTGCCGGCGTAGAGCTCCCCGTCTGCATGGCGACACCGGCAACACACCCCCCCCATCACCACCATCACCACCAGTTCTCCATCACCTTCCATCCCAGCCATGGGTGCGCACCCAGAGGGGCCGCCAGCCCCGTACTCACCCACCAGCAGGGCCGTGTAGGTGTGCTGTGGGTCGAAGGGGCATTGGCCCTTCCCATCCAGGAGGGGTTGTCCTCTGCTGCTGGCCACCAGGGTGAAGTTCTCCAGGAGCTGTGGGGATGGGGGGGGGAAAGGATCAGGCCCATAGGGGCATGGAAGTGGTTCTGGGGTCCCTGGGCAAGTGGGGAAACTGAGGCAGGGGCCCCATAACCGGGGCTTCCCCACCTCCATCCGTGGCTGCTACAACCCCAAGGATGGGGAGGCACCAAGGGGATGCAGGGAAGCTCCAATCCCCCACCCCACAGGATTCGGGGTCCCCATCCTCCCCTATGGGGCCCACTCACGATGTGGGTGCAGGCGGGGCTGAAGGCGTAGGTCCCACACACGTAGAGGTGGGTCTGGTTCAGGGGTACCAGCACCCGGATGAAGTTGAAGCACTCGGTCTGCATTGGGGTGGGGGGGGACAAGAAGAAGTGTGTGGGGGTTTGAGCACCCCATAACCCCTATAGGCCGCCCCCCAAGCCCCATAGTGCTGTCCCACCTCTTGGCTCTTCTTCTTGAAAGCGCACTGGGAGGCTTTGTCAGCCGTGGGGCCCCACGTTACCTATGGGAGGGATGGGAGATGAGAGGGGGGCAACTGAAGCCTGGGGTGGGGTGGGGGGGAGAAGGACACCACCATGGCGCTGCTGCCCCCTCACCGAGGCCCGGGTGCGGATGGTGCCGGTGGCACCGACGGCGAGGGCCAGCACCCGGTCCCGTGCGCCCACGTAGAGCTCCTCCTCATCCTCGCGCAGGAGGAAGATGTCGTAGTGCGAGACGTTGGCCTGGCTGAAGTGGGTCAGGGCCCGACGGGGGTCCCCTGGGCAACGATAGTGGGGTGCAGGGGGGGGGGGGGGATAACCAGAGCCAAAGAGGTGCCAGCACCGAGCCGGGATGCGGCACCGATGCATCAGAAATGGGGTCCATCCATTGCTCCCCCCCAGCATCATCCCCTCCAGGTCCTGCTGCAGGGGTCCCCGAGCCCCTCTTCACCCCCTTCATCGTCCCCTGTGGGGCTGTGAGCCCGTGGCCATGGGGCGATGCTCGTCCTGGGGCATCCATCACCCCAATGGGGATGACTTGGGGGGGGGGGGAAGACCCAAGCCCTCCCTGGTGCCCCCAAGCTTCTTGCTTGGCCCCACCAGCCCCGAGGGCAGGAGGAAGTGCTGCGCTTCTCGGAACGGCTCCATGGGGAAGTGGAAGCAGGGCCACGGTGGGGTGGGGAGGAGGGGGCACAGAAACCTCTGCGTTTAGGATGGGGGCACCGTGGGGCTGCACCCAGCATCCCCCTCCCAAAGGGGTTTGGGTACCAACAACCTCCCCCCCTTTGCATCCCCGTTGTGGTACCCAGCGCTGTGGCACGATGGGGAGGTGATGGATGGACCCCCAGCCCAAGGAGGGGAAGGAGGAGCTTTAGGGTCCCTGCATCCCAACGCATCCCCACGGCCCCACGATGCCGATGGTGCCCCCCCCCTCGCCCCTCACTCACCGCTGTGGAAGGTGGAGCGGGGCCGGGGCTCGGCGCGGAGCAGCGCAACCGGGACCAGCAGCGCCCAGAGCAGGCGCAGGGCGCTGGGGGGCAGCGGGGGAGCCCCCATGGGGCGCCCCGGCACCATCCCTGCGGGAAGGGTGCGGGATCAGGGCCCGGAGCCGCCCGCACCGCTCGTCCTCAGGGGAGGAAATGACACGAGGGGGAACCAGCACCCAGAGAGGGGCGGAGGGGGGGGGGGGGGAAGCCGTGGGGCCCCAAGGCGTGGAGCCACGTGTGACCCCCAAGTGTGGGGCACAGAGTCCCGTTGACACCCCCTGTCCTGCTGGGACCCGTCCGTGTGGCTCCATCAGTGGCCTCCATAGGAGGGGGTGTGGGTCTAAATCACACCCCACACCCCCCCCGGCCTCTTCAAGCTCTTTTTGCCCCTCTTGATAGAAGCAACAGGGAAAAAGCCCCCCCCTTCCCCTCCATGGGGCTGGACCCGGTCCCCACAAAGCCCCATGGAGCTGAGCATCCCCCCCCATCTCTTCCCTTTGGAGCAGGCACCGCGTCCCCATGGAGCAGCGTTACCTCTAAGGGGGGGCGAGGACGGAGCCGCTTCACCTCCAGCCCTGGACCATCACCACCATCACCCCCCCACGGGGGATGCGGCCACAAGCGGCCCCCTGCCCCATGGCCGCTATGGGGCTGCCGGTACGGGGCTCCCAGCGCTGGTGGGGCCCGGCCCCGGCAGGAACCAGAAAGTCCGGCTGGAAGGGGACGAGCCTCAGCCTGCTCCGCGCCCGCCCTGCGGAGCCGGGATGGGAGCTGCTGCTCCTCCTGCTATGGGGCGGAGTGGGGGGAAGAACGGGGTGTCCCAGAGCAGGGGGTCCCGGCTGGCCTTGGACGGAGGGGGAAGCAAGGGTGGGTTTCCTGCTGAGCATCGCTCCTGAGAATGGGACCATGGGGCTGAGCTCCCCCCCAGAACAGAGCCATGGGGCTGAGCATCGCCCCCTAGAACAGAGCCATGGGGCTGAGCTCCCCCCCTAGAACAGAGCCATGGGGCGGAGCGTAGCTCCTGAGAATGGGACCATGGGGCTGAGCGTCCCCCCCAGAACAGAGCCATGGGGCTGAGCGTCGTCCCCTAAAACAGAGCCATGGGGCTGAGCGTCGTCCCCTAAAACAGAGCCATGGGGTTGAGCTCGCCCCCTAGAACAGAGCCATGGGGCTGAGCGTCGCCCCCTAGAACAGAGCCATGGGGCTGAGCATAGCTCCTGAGAATGGGACCATGGGGCTGAGCGTCCCCCCCAGAACAGAGCCATGGGGCTGAGCGTTGCTCCCTAAAACAGAGCCATGGGGCTGAGCATCGCCCCCTAGAACAGAGCCATGGGGCTGAGCATCGCCCCCTAGAACAGAGCCATGGGGCTGAGCGTCCCCCCCAGAACAGAGCCATGGGGCTGAGCGTCGCCCCCTAGAACAGAGCCATGGGGCTGAGCTCGCCCCCTAGAACAGAGCCATGGGGCTGAGCATCACCCCCTAAAACAGAGCCATGGAGCTGAGCGTCGCCCCCTAAAACAGAGCCATGGGGCTGAGCGTCGCCCCCTAGAACAGAGCCATGGGGCTGAGCGTCGCCCCCTAGAACAGAGCCATGGGGCTGAGCATCACCCCCTAAAACAGAGCCATGGGGCTGAGCGTCCCCCCCAGAACAGAGCCATGAGGCTGAGCGTTGCCCCCTAAAAAAGAGCCATGGGGCTGAGCGTCGCCCCCTAGAACAGAGCCATGGGGCTGAGCTCGCCCCCTAGAACAGAGCCATGGGGCTGAGCGTCCCCCCCAGAACAGAGCCATGGGGCTGAGCGTTGCCCCCTAAAACAGAGCCATGGGGCTGAGAATTGCCCCCTAGAACAGAGCCATGGGGCTGAGAATTGCCCCCTAGACCAGAGCCATGGGGCTGAGCATCACCCCCTAGAACAACACCATGGGGCTGAGCGTCGCCCCCTAGAACAGAGCCATGGGGCTGAGCATCACCCCCTAAAACAGAGCCATGAAGCTGAGCGTCTCCCCCTAGAACAGAGCCATGGGGCTGAGCATCACCCCCTAAAACAGAGCCACGGAGCTGAGCATCCCCACTTCAACCCAGGCCCTTGGGCTGGATATTGCCCCCCATGAACCAGGTCTCGGGGCAGGCTCCATCCTCCACCCCAAGCATCTCAGGGGCAAAGGACCCCTTGAAACCAACACCCTGGAGTCCCCCCAAGGCCAGAGCCACATCTGAGCCCCCCAGTACCCCACTGGGCGCATCCTGCCCTTCCTGTGCCTCCTTCCCCGCATCCCCCAGGGCCAGCATCCAGCCTCCGGGGCCCCGGGAGGGCCCCGCGCTCGCCTGGGACAGAAAGCTCCTTGTGAGCACAGAATTAGGTTACTCTGCCCTGGCTTCCCCCCTTTGGGGACACCCGGAGCCTCGGACCGGCCCCATTGTTATGCCCTGGGCCGGAGCCACCGGAGGGATGCCAAAAGGGAGGGAGAGGCTCCTCGGTGAGGCTGAAGGCTCCATGGTGGGGCTGAGGGTGCTCTCCCCCCCACACACCCCAGTCTGATACAGGATGGAAGCTGCTTCAAGAGCTCCATCCCATCCTTTGTGCATCCGAAGTGGTCCATGTGGGAGCGGGGCTCCTATGGACACTACAGCCTCCCTGGATGGGGTTTGGAAGCGAGCATCACCAAGGGTCACTCAATGCTGGGATGCTTTGGGTGGCGCTGGTGCTTTCGGGGTCACCACGGGCCTGGCTCCATGGGTCCCCTCTCGGCGTTCCCTCCAATGCCAGGGGATGCCGAGCACACGTTCTCATCCCAAAGAGTGGTTCAAGCGGCCCCAGGATGGAGCCAGAGGTCTCAACCTCTGCCTGTGCCATAGAACAGAACCACAGCGTGGTTTGGGTTGAAGGGAGCTTAAACCCCAGCTCCAAGCCTCTGCCCCGGGCAGGGCCACCTTCCACTAGAGCAGAGCGCTCCAAACCCCATCCATCCCGGCCAGGATGGGACAGGAGCATCCCTATGGAATGGGGAGGGGCTGGGATGCTTCCAACACCCAGGAACAACCTTAACACCCACCCCAAACCCCCCCGAGAGCCCATGCAGGAGGAGGGGTGGGGGAGAGGGAAAGCAAAGGATGGGAGATGGAAAGCAAAGGATGGGAGAGGGAAAGGGTGGGAGAGGGAAAGCAAAGGATGGGAGATGGAAAGCAAAGGATGGGAGAGGGAAAGGGTGGGAGAGGGGAAGCAAAGGATGGGAGAGGGAAAGGGTGGGAGTGGGAAAGGATGGGAGAGGGAAAGATGGGAGAGGGAAAGCAAAGGATGGGAGAGGGAAAGATGGGAGATGGAAAAGATGGGAGAGGGAAAGCAAAGGATGGGAGAGGGAAAGGGTGGGAGATGGAAAGGATGGGAGATGGAAAAGATGGGAGAGGGAAAGCAAAGGATGGGAGATGGAAAGGATGGGAGAGGGAAAGATGGGAGAGGGAAAGTAAAGGATGGGAGATGGAAAGGATGGGAGAGGGAAAGGATGGGAGAGGGAAAAGATGGGAGAGGGAAAGCAAAGGATGGGAGATGGAAAGGATGGGAGAGGGAAAGCAAAGGATGGGAGAAGGAAAGGATGGGAGAGGGAAAGGATGGGAGACGGAACGCAAAGGATGGGAGAGGGAAAGATGGGAGATGGAAAAGATGGGAGAGGGAAAGCAAAGGATGGGAGAGGGAAAGGATAGGAGATGGAAAGCGAAGGATGGGAGATGGAAAGCAAAGGATGGGAGAGGGAAAAATGGGAAAGGGAAAGCAAAGGATGGGAGATGGAAAGCGAAGGATGGGAGATGGAAAGCAAAGGATGGGAGAGGGATAAATGGGAGAGGGAAAGCAAAGGATGGGAGATGGAAAGCGAGGGATGGGAGATGGAAAGGATGGGAGAGGGAAAGCAAAGGATGGGAGATGGAAAGGATGGGAGAGGGAAAGCAAAGGATGGGAGATGGAAAGCAAAGGATGCAGTAAGGGTATGGGAGGAGGCAGGGGAGGAATGTGGGGAAGAACAGACCGGGAGGGATTCAAGAGGTGGGGAACGCAAAGGGTGGGGACAGAAAGAGGTAGGAGGATGCACAGGAGGGAACCGGGGGATGGAGGAGGGATGCGAGGGGATGTGCGGCGATGTGGGATGAAGGGGGGGGGGGGGCGCTGCCAAAGGGGATGCAGGGAAGCGCTCCCGGAGGCTGGGACCTCGGGGCCTTTGTCCCCTCCCGGCAGCACCAGAGCGGTGTTGGGGGGGGGGTGGGGGGGTGTCCCGGAGCCCATCCCCGCTCTCGCGGCCGCCCGCAGCCCCCGCGGAGCCCCGGTGCCGGTACCGACCTGCGGCAGCCCAGGGCCGGGCAGGCGGGAGCATCCCCGGGGCCGCCGGATGCTGCTCACGTCGCCATGGCAACGGCTCGGGGCGGCCACCCGGGCGGCCACGCGTGTCCACGGCACATGTATGACCGCGCACACGCACAGACACCCCCGAGCATCCCCCCCCCCAGCTCTGAGCACCCCATAACTGCATCAGTTTGCTCTGCCCCTCTTTGGAGCATCTGCACCGCATCCCTGCATCCCCACCCTTGTACCCCCCTATCCACGCTGCATCCCCGCATCCCCACCCTTGTACCCCCCTATCCATGCTGCATCCCTGCATCCCCACCCTTGTACCCCCCTATCCATGCTGCATCCTGCATCCCCACCCTTGTACCCCCCTATCCACGCTGCATCCCTGCATCCCCACCCTTGTACACCCCTATCCACGCTGCATCCCTGCATCCCCACCCTTGTACCCCCCTATCCATGCTGGATCCCTGCATCCCCACCCTTGTACCCCCCTATCCATGCTGCATCCCTGCATCCCCACCCTTGTACCCCCCTATCCATGCTGGATCCCTGCATCCCCACCCTTGTACCCCCCATCCACGCTGCATCCCTGCATCCCCATCCTTGTACCCCCCCATCCATGCTGCATCCCTGCATCCCCACACTTGTACCCCCCCATCCATGCTGCATCCCTGCATCCCCACCCTTGTACCCCCCTATCCACGCTGCATCCCTGCATCCCCATCCTTGTACCCCCCTATCCACGCTGCATCCCTGCATCCCCATCCTTGTACCCCCCTATCCACGTACCCCCCTATCCATGCTGCATCCCTGCATCCCCACCCTTGTACCCCCCTATCCACGCTGCATCCCTGCATCCCCATCCTTGTACCCCCCTATCCACGCTGCATCCCTGCATCCCCATCCTTGTACACCCCTATCCACGCTGCATCCCTGCATCCCCACCCTTGTACCCCCCATCCACGCTGCATCCCTGCATCCCCACCCTTGTACCCCCCTATCCACCTTGCATCCCTGCATCCCCACCTTTGTACCCCCTCTATCCACACTGCATCCCTGCATCCCCATCCTTGTACCCCCCCATCCATGCTGCATCCCTGCATCCCCACCCTTGTACCCCCCTATCCACGCTGCATCCCTGCATCCCCACTCTTGTACCCCCCATCCACCCTGCATCCCCACCCTTGTACCCCCCTATCCATGCTGCATCCCTGCATCCCCATCCTTGTACCCCCCTATCCACGCTGCATCCCTGCATCCCCACGTTTGTACCCCCTCTCTCCACGCTGCATCCTGCATCCCCATCCTTGTACCCCCCTATCCACGCTGCATCCCTGAACCCCATCCCTGAACTCTCTTATCCACGCTGCATCCCTGCATCCCCATCCTTGTACCCCCTCTATCCACACTGCATCCCTGAATCCCATCCCTGCACCAACCCATCCACACCACATCCCCAGACCCACATCCCCACCCTCAGCCCAACCATGCTGGTTGGGGGGGGGAGGTCCCCAGAGGGTGTTCATGGCCCACCAGCAGGGCCCCATCCTGACCCCCCCCCCCCCAGCACCCCACTTTGCTCAGTGCCACTTCCCATGAGGGGAACTCTGCCCTGATCCCACTTCCCCTTCCCAGAGCCCCAAAACGGGATCCTGCCTCCCCCACTTCCTCCCTGCGCATCCCTATGAGAGCCCCTTATCCCCACGCACGAGGAGCCCCAGGGAGGTACCTGCTGGGGGGCACGAGCACCCCGAAAGCATCAGGCCTGGATGGAGCCCATCCAGGAGCCCCTTTTCCCCCCCTTCCCCCTTGGTGCTCCCCACTTCCCAGCCCTCCGGAGCCTTTGCTTGGGATCCATAAGGAGCTTGTGCCTCGTGCCTCGGAGGCTTAACCAAAGCCGTGGGGATGCGGAGCTGCCCCGGCCCCTTCCCAACCCCAAGCATTGGAGCCGCGGTCCCCCCCTTTCCCCCCCTTCCCCCCCCCCCCACTGTCGGTCCCCTTATGGGTGCCCCATCACAAGCAGCACCTTGGGGTGCAACCTTAGGGGGTGGCAGCGGGCGCAAGCTCCCATCCTAAAGCACCCTTGGGATTAGTGGGGAGACCTGACCTTAATCCCCCCGGGCATGCAGGGGCCTGGAGGGGGCCGCTATGGGGCTGCTGCCCCCCCCTTCCCCCTCAGCGCCAGATGTGCCGAGCATCCCTGGCTCCATCCCTGCCCCACGGCTGCCCCGAGGCTCTCCCTGCAGAGACCCGGGCCCGTTTCCATCCTGGTACCCACCATGGGGGGAGCCCGGAGCTGGAGACCCCTAAGTGCTGTGCGTGGTCCTCGTGGGCCGGGTGAGGAGCCATGGGCCGTACATGGGCTGTGCATGGGGCGTGCAAGGGGCCAGTGGGGCTGTGCAAGGTCTGTATGGGATGTGTGGGGTCCCCATGGGTTGGACAAGGTCCCTATGGGGCTGTGCAAGGTCTGTATGGGCTGTGCAAGGTCTGTATGGGATGTGCAAGGTCTATATGGGATGTGCAAGGTCTGTATGGGATGTGCAAGGTCTGTATAGGGTGTGCAAGGGGCCAGTGGGGCTGTGCAAGGTCTGTATGGGATGTGTGGGGTCCCCATAGGCTGTGCAAGGTCCCCATGGGGCTGTGCAAGGTCTGTATGGGCTGTGCAAGGTCTGTATGGGATGTGCAAGGTCTGTATGGGATGTGCAAGGTCTATATGGGATGTGTGGGGTCCCCATGGACTGTACAAGGTCCCTGTGGGGCTGTACAAGGTCCCCATGGGGATGTACAAGCTCCCTATGGGATGTGTGGGGTCCCCATGGGTTGTACAAAGTCCCCATGGGGCTGCGCAAGGTCTGTATGGGATGCATGGGGTCCCCATGGGCTGTACATGGTCTCCATGGGGCTGTGCAAGGTCTATATGGGATGTGCAAGGTCTATATGGGATGTGCAAGGTCTATATGGGATGTGCAAGGTCTATATGGGACGTGTGGGGTCTATATGGGACGTGTGGGGTCCCCATGGGCTGTACACGGTCCCTATGGGGCCATGCAAGGAGCTCACTGAGGCTGGCGAATGGGCACTGACTTCCCCAGTGCCACCAGCCCCGGTCCCCACTGTCACCATCCCCAGCCCCATTCATTCCCCCCCCCGCCCTCCTTGGCACCCATTGCCCTCAGCCCTGCTTGCACCCAATGTGTGTGGGGGGGGGACAGGGACACCCATTGGGTGGGCACCTACCTGTGCCTGCGCCCACCCGTCCGCGCTGCTCACATCGCGGCTGCCGGCGCCGGGGCCGCTAAAGCCGATTAAGGACCGGCTTTAGAGCTCCCCCCCCCTATTCCCACTGCTCCTCCCGCCTCATTCCAGCGCCTGGCACAGCCCGGGCAGGCTGGGAATGCCCAGGGAAAGGGGTGCCCTTGGTGGGGTGCTGGGGGCACCCCATGGGGGGGGCAAAGCTGCGTCCTGGGGTCACTCAGGGTCTGCATTCCCCCCCCCCCCCCATTCCCCGTCTATCGCATCCAAGGGGATTTCTCCTTCCCAGCATCCCAGGGGAAGGGAATCTCTGAGCCTTCTCCCCACATTCCATCCCCTCTTCATTAGTGTTGAAGCTAGGGGACCCCCACAATCCCCCCCACACACACACATCCCAGGACATCAATGACAACAGCACACAGGATGGGAAGGGATCAGCTCTATTGATTCCAGAAGGAAACAGAGGCAGGGATACAGAAGCTTGGCAAGCACAGATACATAACGCGGTGTCACCACATCCCGCCGGAGCAGGGGGCCTCATCCTGCCCCCCAGGCTGGGGGTCTAGAGCTGGATGGAGCCTGGCAGTGAGGGGAGCTGCCCCCTCGCTCAATGGGAAAACCTTCCTCAATGCTTCCTAAAGCATCCTTGGCCTCATCCTGCCTGGAAAAGGGCTCCTGAGCTCCTGCCACTGGAGAACAAAGCGGGGTTCGAACCCCACTGGATGCAGCATCCCCCGAAGAGGAGGTTCAAGTGGGTCCTGCAGGAGCGGGCTCCATCTCCCCATCCACCAAAGCCATCTGGTCCCAGGATACAGCTCCGGGGCCTTTCAACTTCCCATATTCCATCCATCCCTCGACGCCGGGCGGGATTCCCTGCTCCGGAGCGGCTCCCACCTTTGGCTAAGGCACAACTCGGCTGCTTAGAAAAGAGAAACCCCAACGGGCAAAGAGGCGCTTGGGACGGGCAATACAGTACACGGAGTGACGGGAATGCTGCCTGGAAACGGGGGGAAAAACAGGGAATTTGGGGGGAAAAGCCCAAAAAAGAGTTGCTCGAGGCAACGCTCCACGTCAGGCACCAGCATCAGAGCTGCTCTTGCTCAGCCCCATGGGAATGGCTTCGCTCCTCCCAGCCCTGCAGAGAAAGCTTTGGCAAACAGCAGGATCGCGCCTCCCGCTCCGGACGCGCGATTCCCGCTTGTCTTTGGCTGCACTTTTAAAAGGATTTGGATGCTGAAAAAGCTCTTTTTTTTTTCGGTTTGGTTTTTGGTTTTTATAGAAATAGATATTTTTTTCTTTACTTTTTTTTCTCTACAAAAAAAAAAAAAACAAACACCAAAAATGGAAGCATCCGGAAGCATTTCCAATAGGTTTATATATAAAATTCCTGCTCTAGAAAAGGAAAAAAAAAAATCCCGACGTCGGCGCTGGATCCCGGCGGGCCAACAAGAAAACACCGAAATACTCTGCCTTTGGGAAAGCAAATCCTGCCCAGGGATCCCAGGAATGGTGCCGCGAGGTTACATGATGCTGCAGTTCTGCACAGCCTGAGCCTGCGAGGAAGAGAGGGACAGCAGTGCGTGAGCCCCAAAGCGGTGCCAAGGAGGCAGCAAATTCCATGTGGGATCCCTCCCTCGCAGTGCCCTTGGGATGCAACGCACCCCCACCTCAGCCCTGAATTGGGGGGATTAGAGGAGGGTATGGCTTGCTCTTGTGCGTGAGGGATGGGTGGAATGAGAGCCATGGGGATGAGGGATGCTCCTGGGGGTCAAGCACGGGATGTGGGGATGCTGCGGACAACCCCTCCCGATCCCTCCCATTCCGATGGTGGCCGGAGGAAGAGGAAGAGCAAAGAGGAGGAAGAGGAAGGCGC